ATCTATCTATCTATCTATCTATCTATCTATCTATCTATCTATCTATCTACATCATCTATCATCTATCACTTCATTACAATTTTAATAAAGATTAAAATGAACAGAAAATAATGCATAGAATAAAGAAAAAAAACACAAAGCCAAAAGTTCACCCCCCCAAATATAAATAAATAGTTTATAGCAGTTATAAATATATGCACTAACTATACATCTAACTGTATGGTTACAGCATAATTTTCATTTTTTCTATAATCTTTTTTTCTAATTGTCAAAACCATTTATCAAAAGTTGCTTTTTTTCTGTTTCATGCGAAAAGTCTATAATGGATTTCCAGTCAACAATAAACGTAGATTATGCCTTTTCTCTGATCAAAGAAGTCAGTTTGGCCACTTCAACAATTTCTTATATCTTCACCATCCATTTTTCCATTGTAGTTGATGTCGAATATTTCCATCTTTATGCATATAATAATCTCACTGCAGTTATCATGTATAAAGACAAAGTTCTATAACTTTTTTCTAACTATTTATTGGTTTGTACTAAAAGAAAAGTCTCTGTTTCAATTGTATATTAACCTTTACAATCTTTTGAATTAGTGTATATAGTTGAGTCCAAATTTTCTAGCTTTTTTTGTATGTCCAGTGAGCATGAGGAAATGTACATTTCCACCATAGATTTGAAATATCTTCATACACTCTAAACAATTTCTCCAGTGAGATGTAGAAACCATTTATTCATCATCATTGCATAGCATAAACAAAGTTTTTTCTTGAAAAGGAATTGGCACATCAAAACAAGTAGGAAGTGTTTGAGACCAGAACAAAGTGTGAAAACTTGCTGTGGAAATCAGCACAGATGCCATCAACTATAAAAGATGGAAGCTGAGGTCTCAGGATCTCCCAACTTCCTTTCAACTACTTGACTAATGGACAGAAGAGTAGACTCTCTTTCTATTTTTCTTCCTTTGGGATAGTTATATGGTATATATGGAAATGTATGTAGGTGTAAATATGCAAAATATGAACTGATAAAGTCTCTAGAAAGCTACTGATTGTGCTCCTGGCTCATTTGGTGGAATCTTCACTATCTCTGGCCTGACACTGCATATAAGGTCTTACTTGTTTATTTTCTGTATCCAGATGTGCTGCAGAATTTTGGCATCATTGCCAGAGATGGGTTGCTCCTGGTTTGGCCGAACTGGTAGTGGAATTCAGGCCTGGGTTGCAGAACTGGCAGCGACCCAGGCCTGCCACGCCCCCGAATTGGTTCCCTCGCCACCGGTGGGCCGCTGCCATTTTGGTTTTTAGTCACTGCGCGTGTGCAGTTCACTGTAAATTGTTCTGTGCATGCACAAAGAATAATTTACATGGAACAGCACATGCACACGGGGGCTGCGAACCAGTAGTAAAACTGGCAGCAGCCCACCCCTGATCATCACCTCCATGTTCCATCATCGCCCCCAATGTGAATTGCAAAACTGTAATGGTACAGAGTTCAATGCCTCTTCAGTGCCATCTGATGGTCAACCAGATTTCTGAAGTCTTGTCTAGTGATTACATGGATACACAAGCAGTTTATTTGGTAACAATTTGGGAATGGCTTGATATACCTTGTTCCAATATTTTTTAAAAAATTTCTAATCTAGCAAGCAACCTTCAGAATTCCTGCTGTTCTCCCATCAAAGTCTTAATCTGATCTGTTGCTATTTAGCAGTGTGAGGTCAGTCAAGGTGAGCTAGAGCTGTATGCAATATGAGGATTGCATGCAATGTTTTATACTGTCTTTGTATGATAGAATAAAATGTCTAGATTATTAGGCAAATAAAGAGTAAGAAAGGTTTGACTGCAGTTCTGTTAAAACAAAAATCCAACTCAGCATTCAAACTTCTTGCCCTGTAATTAGAAAGAACTGTACAAAATGTATAAACTTCACACCACTGCTATTTGCTATAGAGAAGAAGTGATCAACTATGTTTTTAAAATGGTAGATTAGAGTCTGCAAAGCTGGTGGATTAGAAAAATTTGATGTATTTGAATTACTAGCAGGCCAAGCCTCTCATTTTTATTTGAAATTAAAGTGAAATTGCCTGGGTAAGAGCTTAATTATATTCTGTGTCATTTTTATGGTAAAAGATTAGTCTTCTATTTATACTGCTTATGTTAACAATAACAGAGTAGGAGACCGTTACTGATGATGAGAGAGAGCAGGGCACTTCACAAAACTCATGAAAAAGGCTTTTGGGCTTTCCGAAATGCCTTCTCTCATTATTCCTGTCTTTGTTCATTTGTTTGCCTTTGAAGTAAAACATGATCCAGGGATTCATGGAGAGTACAATCCTTCTTTTCAGTTTTATATTGGCAAGAAGAAGACCGACAATGAGACCACAATATCAGGGGCATTCAGAAGATGGGTTAGAAAAAGTTAAGATAGTGACATGTGACTGTAATATTGACGGCTCACCACATTATACATGCAAAGCACATAAAAAAGGGACAAGCTTTGATTGCATGATTGTAGCTGTCATCTTTACACTTTTACCCTATCCTCACCCAGTCCAAAGTCTGTAGACACCGAATCTCTTGCTTTGGTTTATTCTTTCCCATTTGAAAGGACAGTGGCCAATCTTACTTTGTTTTAAATTTCTTAGGGAAAAGTCTTCATATCATACCCAAAACAATGAGTTGTACCAAAGGTGAGTCAATTTTTCAATGTCCACGCTGTTAATACCAGTAACCAGATATTAGTATATGATTAATTCAGGTTATCACAGATGACATTGTAGTTCATATAGTCAAGCAAACATATTTTTCTTTTTTAAAATACATTCTATTGTTGTTGTTTTTAATACTGTCCTTTACCAAGGCTTCCCTCTTATGTGGTCGCCATCGCTCCAGTCCTGTCCAAGTGACAGGATAGATCCTTGTCCATTTAGTGAGTTTCTCCTACCCACTTGGGGTGGTGGTGGGGTGTTGCCTTCCACCCCAGTGTCTTCAGAGTTTCCTCTTGAATCTGCCTATCCCTTCAAGTTCCGCAGTGCTCAAAAATGAGCCCAAACGAAGAAGTTTGAGTTACAGGTTACGGGAGCTGCCGTTCCTCAACCCTAGCATGATGACGATACCGCCGGAAGTGCCTATTGTTTTTTTTAATACTGTCCTTTACCAAGGAAGCTGAGGAAGCAGTCCATCAACTTTCTCCTTCATGCTAGCTCTTAATTTGGGCCCTTAGACTGGTCTAAGAATATGGTTTTATTATATGCTGCTCACTTTGTGTGAGATGGGTTACCCTATAAATTTGGCAAATAAATAAAAAATATCTAATTGGATATTGTAATCAAGGGCATATCTGCATTGCCAGGTTTCCCGGACCACTAACTACTTCTGGAAAGCATCTTCTACTTGCTTCTAGCCCACCAGAAAAAGGTGGCAGGGCTGATTTGCAGTATGTGTTAATTTGATTGGGTTCTTTCCAGTCCTAACCTGGCATTTCTATTAGTAGAATGTGCACTTTTACAAATAGTTTGGAGAGTGGACACATTTCTAATTATTCCATAGAATTAACTAGTGTTTCCTGAAATAGTTTTCTGAGGTTCTCCAAATTCTTAATTTATCTTCTGCTTCATTCTAGCAATCTTGTAAAATAGGCAAATGTTTTCATTATGTTTATCTTGATCTTATCTTACCCATACCTATTAAAGTAACAAGTTGAGGAACTATATACACTCTTCCCTCTGAGTGATACAGCTACAAAATTACTCAGACATGGTTTGTTTAAGAGTCATGCAGTAGCTACTTTTAAATCATGTTAATCACAGAGGCGTCTTGTAGCATTCTTGAGTTAAACTCAGTGATTAGCACAATCTAAAAGTAGATATTATACTAACCATTGACTTAGCAAGTTCAGTGAATGAAGCCCATTACTTAGATCCAAAATAGTTTCTCTCCCTCACACATGTCAATGGAGATTCTCAGTCATCCAGGTTATAGTTGTTCCAGAGGTGCTTTTTCAAAAGGTAACTGAACTTTCTTTGAAGACATTTTGCTTCTTATCCAAGAAGCTTCTTCAGTTCTGACAGAATGGTGAAGAATCCTTGCAGTCATCTGGTCTTTAGCACTCTTTCTGAGAATTGTTAAAGCTACTTGGAGGTAGTAAAGTTACTTCCCTATTTTATAAATCACCATCACTATGGAACTGGTGAGTGGTTAGAAAATTTTACTACTAACAGAGATACAAAATTGGGCGGTAGGTATAAAAAGGTTGATTACCCCTGTGATAGACAGAGTGCCTGAAGAACTATGGTTGGAGGTTCGCAACATTGTACAAGAGGTAGCAACTAAGAGAAAGAAAAAGAATTCAAGAAAGCATAATGCCTGTCTGAGGAAGCTTTCCAAATAGCTGAGGAAAGAAGGGAAGCAAAAGGCGAAAAAGTA